TATCAGGGGGTAATTCTCTCTTCTCTCGGGGTCTCCACACTGTCAGGGGGGAATCTCGTCTCGTCTCTCTATCGCGTCCCATTGAGGTACGGGATCGGGAAAGTCACTTTAACTTTACAGTCAAATAAGACACACACAACGAAATACGTTTCAGCTCTCGTCTTAGTCGGTCAATCGAGCACTCTATAAGACACAGCGCCCTGGGGAAAAAGTCCCCAAGACTCTCTTAAGGCTGAACCAAGACTCGCCCAAGACTGGACTGCCTCAAGGCTCGCCCCTGGACTGGACTCGACTGCACTCTCTCTACTGCGTCTCTCGTAGAGTACTTGCCAAGACCAACTCAAACTCTCTTTATTCATTTTCAAAACTCTAACCAATTACAAAACAGTAAAAAGACTCTAGGGCGTAACCTTCAATCATAAAGCCAATCACACTAAGTACTGAATACGTCATATCTTTTGATTAATCGTTCACTACATTAATAACTATGGATACCAACTGTCAGAATGAGTAGTCTAAAAAGCGGCGGTTATCTGGTAATTAGTTCCAAATCACTGAGCCAAGTTCCGTCCAAAACTTCAAATAGACCTAAACAATGACAGACATAACACAGCAATTCGCTAATAATCAGTTAATTAAGTCGGTCAACAGATACGCGAAAACAAATTCATGACACATCCACAGAAACAATAATAAAAAAGTAAAATTAGGTGTTTCAATCCCGAGAAACCTGTACTACATCCTTAATCGGATTTAGGCTCCACGCAATCCAAACAAAATAAGAGATTTTCAGAAAGAAACAAAGATAATCATTTTGATGAGCTTGATATTCAGATACATCAATATGTAACCGTATTGCACTCCGTCTCTGACGTTCGACCATAAAATAACTTACCATCGCTGGCTAACATATTGCGGACTGGAAAACAGAGTGAAGTAATGACCAAGTTCAAAAATGCGAAAAATGTATGTACGATGTTAAATAACATTCGTGGCGGGAAGGAGACGTGGCCTTTATTACCCCCCCCCCCCCCCTCAGAGGCGAGTATACCACGAGATCATTGACCAGTTCACGACATAACACGTGTACACTTGACAGTTTCCTGTCGCTTTGTGGCGGTTACTCTCTTCGTCTTAAACGTATTTTTGAGAGACGTAAAAGACTTAAAAGAACCAACAACCATGTACAATTGCAATACAGTATCTGAAATGTTCTACTTGCAACTATGGTGAAGTAAAATATCTAGCGGCGGCATGGTGAAGTTTATTCATGTAGTTATCGGCAATATTGATATGTGTAAAAAAAAACTTGTTTGTAGATTTTAGTTGACAGAAAGTTTTAGCCTAATTTGTTATTCATGTTTGGGTATACCTTTAAAAACAGAAAATTGTGGTATCCTCGGGGGCGGACATCCGGGCATTTTCTACCGCCTGGCAACCCTCGCGGTGAAAACAAAGACCAAAAACTCGCAGAAAACGGTACTTTGCGATGGTTGTTGAGAGTCCCCTGAACAGTGTAACAAGATTAGCCCTACGTGTGTAACATATATGAATTTGGTTGTTCAGGATTCCTTCAAAGTTGAGTTTGTGTTGTTTTCTCGAGTTTTCACCGGCTCCACCAGCGTTCCACAGCAGCGCGCACAAAGCCCATAGAAATACGTGGTACAGTGGTGCGCGTCTTAGCAACGTAGAACGTCCGTGACGTAGCTCCGCCCCCGAGGATATCAGGTATTTTAGACCGCCTTGCAAAAATTAAAACTATCTCTCATTTAATCACATTTATAGACGTGACACATTGGTGGAATATAAATAATAAGTTAAAAGTTTGTCATTTTAATCACGGTATCTAGTAATCGCGGTGACCCAGTGAAATGATCAAACCGCAATAAATCTCATAACGCCATTGATGTCTTCACAGAAATAATATGAATTTGTATTGATTAATTAATTAGATGGGTTCTGGTGCGCGTGGTGATAATTATAAATCAACATATCTCAAAATGGTTCAACCGTTGCAAAAGTGTTCTCGCCAATTTATGCTTGTTATCCACAATTGAATTATTTTGAGATCATGGAGCTCCATGATAAGACCAAAATTCAAAGTCACTTATTTTTAAACTTATATTTACTATTTTTGTTTTTCTAATATATGAAAATTTAATGACCAAAAGTATGTCAGAAATAACTAAAATAACCCAAAGAAGACTAACAATCGACACAAGAAGAAATGTGGACCCACAGCTAAGTGACATTTGTTTTACACAACTTTATGGGAGGAACCATAGATCTATCATCTTCTATGTCGATAATATCTGAAAATGACAAATTTAATAACACAACTTCAAAGTATGTCATAAATGACTAAAACACCATCACATTGACTAAAGACCGACACAAGAAGAGTTTTGGATCAACAGGTACTTTTCACTAAAATAGACATACACAAGCTAGGCAATAGTTGCAGACTTCCTGTATATTGTTTAACAATTTAGCAGACTAGGAAAACTGTCAATCTCTACTACAGAAATGTGTTTTAACACTTTGTGTCAGACCTTCTCTACCCCCTATGTTTAAACGAAGAAACGTAATTTCTCATAGTGACATTATGTGCAATTCAAACAGGAGTATGACAATGCCGTAATAGTTGTCGAGAAATGGTAAGAATGTGATTTGAAAACATTATTCTACGCGGTCAATGTTGGAGACGAAACAAGCACGTGGCAGGGAAACCTCCATTTGACAACTACCGGTACAATCCAATGCGCGAAAGTGAACCTTGTCGAATAGGATAAAAATCGAATAATTATTGCATGAATAATTACACACCGTGGCGAGAACGCTAGCCACTGACGTCCACCTCGAATGTATACAGATTGTGTAGACATATAATTTTCGCTTTGTTCACAGTCACTCTACTAGGACGGTTAGGAAGCGCTGGTGTTAAAAAGTGTGAACGAGTAGCTTTGGAGTAGAGTGACTGTGCCGATTTCTAGACGATCCGGCCCTGGTT